TTATTTAGTTTCGTTATAATGCCTTAAAGTAAGACTAAACGAAGCCTTTTCTTTTTGTTTTGGCTGGCCGATTTCGGTAAACGAACAAACTAAAGTATTCGACCAAACGTAACTCTTCAGATGTAGCATTCATAGATTGCACCATTATTTGCTGTATTGAGCTTTACGGGGTTATTTTTGCGTAGCACATTGCTCCAAAATCCGAACACTGAAATATTACCCACAATAAAAATGATCGTAGTATTAAAAAAAAGCATCAAGTTACATCGCAAAAGCTATGAATAGCACGAAAACGTTCAATGTCCAATCCTTCTGCAGAATGACCACCTGCTGTTCTCCAATGCTGGCGCTTGTCCTCTTGTTCTTCTTCGTCGTGAAACGTGAGAAACGTACCGTGACTACGTGCTTTCTCTTACCTTGTAGTGGCCCAATATAATTTATCGTGCAAAAATGTTCCAAAAGCCGGGTGAATTCATGATTGAAAAGGTTTACTCCGACTTAACATAACAAATTAATAACAAAAGGTACAGACGTTTCACCACCTATGCAGGTGGCATCTTCAGTATACACTGAAGTTATTTTACGATAATTTATCGTAAAATTATATGCATTGATAACAACCGCTTAAAGGGACACTGACCGGGTATTTATGCTCACCGTGGATTTTATTTGTACACGATACACGAAAGCCCAATTACTCGGAACACAATTTACGGCTTAAAATTCGGTTTCTTTCCGCCCGAAAACCGCCGATCGAGAACTGGCCAGTTTGAGTCGCGCTCACTCTTTCCTCCATCGTCACGTGCCGTTTGCTATGGTTTCGACATAACCAGCACACATAATCAAAGCCGTGGTCATCGAAGGCGCACGCTAAAAACTAAAAATAAACAAAAAATATAATGCCCGCTTTTTCTTTTTTGGCTTCAGAAAAACTTTAAATACGTTAATAAAAAAATTAAAAAAAAGAGAGAAGTTGCGCACCACGAGACTGTTTGTAGCTTTCTTCTCTATATTTTTTCCTCCCCAGTCCAGTTTCGGTATTCGGCTTTGAGCAGTTGCGCTTTTTACTTTATTAAAAATATACATGACACTAGCAAAATACTGATTGGGTAGTGTTCTGACACCATAATGGATCGCCTGGAAAAATATTAAAAAAAAACTTCTTGGCGAGTGTCAGCGTCCCTTTAAGGTCTTTCCGTACACCATCGGTTTCTACACAAAACAAATTAAAGGATACTTGATAGATTAGTGAAATATTAGTTTCTAGATATATGTGCTCTATATTTCAACGTTGACAAACAATACGAAAACGCAAACAAGCTCAAAATAAAGCCATCCTTTACTTTCCGCTGCTTTCTTTTCTTCGCGCACCTTTGGGCCTCTACGTTCTTCACGCAGCTGTTGCATGCGCTATCGATTCCATTTTATCGACGCCCCGAACAGGGCGCGCGCACTCGGTGCTTGTCCCTTCGCCGAAATCTGAGCATTGTCTTGACAGCGACAGCCACAACGACGTCCGAGATGTGACGCAATATCCGAAGCGATATTTCAGCCAGACGCGTGTGTGTGTCTTCGCTTCCGGCCAACTAGAACCGTGCATAATAACGAACAAGGCGGCGCAAAGGAAGTTTAGAAACATAAACACAACTATGGAAATATAACGTTGAGAAACAAGTAGCCACGGAAAGAGAGGGAGAGAGAGAAAGAGAGAGATTGGGTGTGAGATTGTGATGGGTCGGCTTTCGATCCGCGCATTAAAAATGCATCAGTCGTTCAAAACAACGGCAGCTGTTTCAAAGGGAAACCATTTTTTATTATATTTTTTCACTTCTGCGTTAGTTTTACGTAGAAATAGTTTGTTCTTTGTTCGCCGCGTCTTGTTGCGGGTTTAAATATGCAGGTTTGTCTGTGAGTTGGGCTGCCGCCTGTGTTTTATTTTAATGATTATTGATGCTCTTTATAAGTCAGCGAAATGTTCGATCTATAATCTTGCGGGCCGTCAGCAAAACACGGTTTCAGTCATAGAAAATACGAAAACAAAGTGCGGGAAATTTGTTCGTTTGTGTTTGTAGTACCTCGCCGGAACCATCTGCATAGTTGTTTTCTTCTGTTTTCGTAGTGTGTTTTTACCTTTCTTCGGTCGTTAGTAATTGATACTCATAGGTCTGTGTTAAACTTAGCAATTTTGTTTGTTTTCTGTTTGAGGTTTATTTGAATTGAATTGCACGCTGCAAAAGTTTCTAGTTTTTCTGACTAACGTTGCTTTCCAGGCAATGTTGTTTCCATGTTTAAACTATGGTTCGTTCAGCTTGAGTCTCAGAGAAACATAATGAAATAAGTTCTTTATGACGACAACAAAGAAAGAATTTTACTCATATCTTCAATATATTTTTTTTTCGTAACTCCAGGAAAGGAAACAAAAAAAAAAAAAAAAGGCTAGCAATGACCCAGAAAAGGACACCAATAAAACTCACCCTTGTTTGTGTTTTTCATCTTGTTTTGTTTTGTTTTATATTTCTAAACACTTCCTTCGGTCGTGAATATAAGGCTTTTGATTTTATAGTGCTTACTTTTCGTTTCGGTCAAAAGTTGGGGAGAGGACTTTACAAGACCCGTCATAAATCGCCGGCAATAAACAATTTACTTGGTGCGTGTTTACCAAAAATCCAGCAAAACTTCGAAATGAATTTCTTTCCCGTCCCTTAAAAAAGGCTACCGAGCAATATTTCTGAAGTTCTCTCACTCTTCTTTTGTATGAACCTCTTGGCGAGTTCAGAATGTGAGCTGCTGCTTTTTCTTGATAATATTGACTCACGCCTTTTATTTCAAAACACTTCAAAATCTGGCCTAAATTTGCTGTAGACTGCGAGAAAGCGATATAGTGTTGACACTGTCCCGCATGACTTTAAGTAAATCTGCTTTATTGAACAATGTGTTGCAGCACTCCAACTGAAAAAAAAGACAGATACAATTCTACACTACTGAAGTCTTATAGGAACTATCAACTTCGGAAAGGGTGTACAAATAGATAGTTCTGTATTAGTTTTTTGTCAAAATGGCAGTAACATTGAGAAGGACATAAGTCGAGGTAAAGTAAACATACTTCAAACAACTGAGTGAAAGGGATCTGCATTCGAAGTATAGCGCCTAGAGGACTTGGTGGGAGCTGAACTAAGATGCTAAATAACATTAAAAAAAAAAAAACTCAATTTTTTTTTCTTGAGGGAGGAGAGATTTAAGACTGTGTTTTGATAGTGGTGTGCGTGTGTGTGTGTGTGTGTGTGTGTGTGTGTGCGTGCGTGCGTGCGTGTGTGTGTTTGTGTGTGTGTGTGTTTTGCGTGAGTCACCCGCAAACACTTTTGTTATACAAAAAATAAAGGGCATTGAGTTATTCGCTTTGAAACAAAAAAAAAAGCAATTACTAACACAGCGCATTACGCTCTGTAAAAAAAAATTAGGGTAAAGGTAGTCACGATTATATAATTGAACTGTCAATCGCGAAAGTTTTCATTCCCTAGTACGATGAACTTCTTGCATGGATACTTCGCCTGTGAACCCAAGTTCTTCACCGCGTTCGACTGGAATCGTTTTGTGTTATTTCAGGTCAGGCACACATTGCAGAAGGACCTTATAGGAATGACGACAATATAAACATTTCCTCTTGGCGTTTCCTGGTTTGTTTACCCGGAGTACAACAACAAAACCTTTCTTTGGCAAGCAGTGTGCGGCTAAGCAAGATTTGAGATGTAGTAAAGTTTGGGAGCCTGTATGCTGTGATAATTTAACTCTGCCGTTCCTATTTAGTTTTGCAATTGTATAACCAGATTTGTAAGAAGCTAAGAGTATTCGGGGAATGTTCATTTGAGAGTCTTATTAGGCATTTCTAAACCATTTTGATTTTCAGATGACTAACCAAGACTGTGACGCCAATCCCTACTCCGATCATTTATTATCTACGCCTTTAACAAATGAGGCGCTACATGTGATAATATCACAAGTCGACTCGTGCTATTTATTATATTTACTTTACCGTGTGGGCAGATTTCAATAGCACCACTTTGTTTTTGTTTATCTAATATTCTAGATTTTAATTCATATCAAGCAGAATAAAAATATGAATCGTGACAAGCGCAGTAGAAAAAAATGAAGACCTTCTTTGGGAGGTGCATTTCTAAACTTGTACTACAATTAAGAGTAGCCCCTCGATTGTTTTTGTGCCTACTTCATGCCTGGACTCCGGAGTATGGCACATAATACCAATAATTTAAAACGCATACCTTTCTTTTTGAGTAATACAATAGTCGATTTCGCCCGTTTTACAAGAAAAATACATTACGTCGATTATGCGATTTGTTACTTCGTGCATTTTTTTGTCTTGGTATCAAGTCACATTTTTAAGAAGTGCTCTTTTTTTCTTCGTAACTTTGGCGGGATTCATTCATGCATGTAGTCCACCGTCGAAAACAATGCCCCGCTTCTGACTATGGCACGCCCTATTATCAAGAAGTGTCCCGGCTATTGCCCTCTTGCAAGGTTCCCTTCACGATTTCTGCATTTTGTTTTTCCCTCTTTTATTGTGCCGCCGTCACAATTTGTACCTACGACGACGTTTTATAGCTTTCCTCTAAGTATTGTTGTGTTGGTATACGAACTCGGGCAACAAAGTGTAAGTTCCGCGTGTTGTCAGTCATTACAATTTCCTTTTACTCTCCCAAAGACAAGGTAGAAATACGCATATACGCACCACAGCATAGATTTCAACATTATTCCATAGTCGTATTAACATAGCGTCAGATACCTCAATCGGTGAGTCGAAAAAAGCTTACAACTGCCTCCCCTTTGTCTTTCACCAGGGCGGAGTTTCCTCCCCGAAGAAGAGATCCACCTACACCGGACGAAGTCATGAGGCGAAACGACGGTTCAGTTCCAGACGGAACGTCCAGCCAGCAGCCTCCTGAATAGCCATCCGCGCAACAGACCTTCCGAAGCCTCGAAAGAAGATGTTGCCGGCCACCGGCTGGAGCGGACGGGCCGCTTCGGAACGCCGCCGTAGCCATCGACGCCACCTCCCGCCTCTGCCACCTTGGGTGACAAGGGTCTCGTGGACGGTCACGCTGGCCGCCGCTGTCCTGGCGGCTGTGGGTGCAACGTCTCCGACGCCGCAAGCGCGGAACGAGACGTCCAGCTTACTGGCTTCGTACACTACGTTCAACGAGACGGTGAACTTCACGCACTTCGTCGTGGATACGCACACGGGAAAGGTGTACGTCGGAGCCACCAACTGGCTGTACCAGTTCAACGCGTCCTTGGAGCTCGAGGCCGCTGTACAGACCGGGCCCGTGGAGGACAGCGTGCTTTGCTCGCCGTCTGACTGCAGCGGCGTTGAGGCTGAACTGACTGATAACATCAACAAGGTGAGATACATAACGCATTCCGTTTTACAGCGAAGCTGTACATGAATCGTTGGTCGGGTTTTTTCGTGTCCGTCTACTGAACAGTGGTCGACAGAAGACCATCGCGCGCGTCTTATCATCCTTCGAGCGCTCCCTATCATCTATCATGTGGTTTTTACACTTGTTTCAATAAGAAAACCACAGAAAGTTTCATAACCACATGATAGATGATAAGGCGCGCGCGAACGATGTTAAGCACGTAGTGCTCCCCGCATGGGTTTTTCGGTAAATATTTGAGTTGCATAAGCTGCCGCGGCAACGGCATATTGCGAAGTGGGGAGTGATGTCACTAGCCCCACTAACGATGCGAAGAACGTAGCGCTCCCCGCATGCCTTTCACGGTAAAGATTTCGATTGCATAAGCTGTCGCGGAAACGTCAGCGTGCGTAGCCTTTCAGATATAAAAAAAGTTTGGGTATAGTGCATTTACTTTTCTTTTGTCAATCATTTGGTATATACCCTTTTTGCTGTTTACAAACACGGACTGTCGCTTGCGTCCCAGGCGACTTCCGATCGCACCGTTTTCGCAAGCCTGTTGAGCTTGCCTTTGCGCTTGAGAGCATAAATGATATACGACAACAACGTTAGAAATTTAACGCGGGTCTTTTGCTGTACAATATTGCATCTCGGAGGAGGCAAGTTGGTTTACAAGAATACTCGAAACATTTTAACGAAACACTCCTTCGTTCTTTTAGCGTTCACCTGGAAATTGGTGGTTAAACGTTTTATCTGCATTTCAAGTAGCGGTGTTAAGGTGGCCTTTGTTGATTTTTTTTATGAACCGGAAGTTCTTTGAGACGTCAATGACTGGAGCACCACCTGGTGGTGTTTGCCATAAAAAGAGTCCATAGGGCAGTGGACAATCGTTGCAAGTGATACCACAGCTTTTTTTTCTGGATAACCTCCTTCACAGCGTGGATTAGAGCCCCAACGCTTTCTATACAGATTTTTCCTACTCAATGGCCACGTTTTTGCTTGCCCTATTCTCGTAATTAGTAATATATCAATGATTTTGATGGACCATGAGAACCGTACAAGTTTCTAAGGTAGTTCGTTGCTATTTATGTTCAAATTGGATGCATAAGTGGCACGTGTAAGAATCTACATGATACACATTTAATCAATAAATATGTTGCATTGCGCTGCGTTCTTTATAAATACAGGAAAGGGATATACGGAAAAAAAAGCCAAACAGCTTTTTTGCCTGTTTTGTCCTTTTGTGTATTTTTTTGTTTCTGTTCACGTACAAGTATTCTCTAACAGGCTAGTCGTTTCAAGCAGTGCTTGCATATACTTGTGCCTCTGGACAATCCACCCAACATATTTCCGGAAGCACCGGTGTGCGACGTGTACATCCACCACTATATTCGGCCTTGGGAAAGGGGTATGACAATAAAGCACAAACAGCATCCCGCACTTGCATTTACGAATTATAACTTCTGCAGAGGCAGAGTCTCTTGTGAGTAAAATAGCCCTGCAATTATTTGCGAGACGTTTGCAATTGTTCTTACGATGGTTCAAGAAACTTTTGGTACTTTCATACACAAATATAAGATAACGTCGCATATAACACAAACTAGCACTGTCACGCCCTCGCAGGTTCTGGTCATCGACTACAAGGCACGAAAGCTGATCGCGTGCGGCAGCGTTCACCAGGGCGCCTGCCGACGACATCAACTAGACGACATCACTCAGCAAGACGCGCTTGTGCCCATCCCCGTAGCTGCGAATGATCGAAACTCGTCGACGTACGCCTTCATCGGGCCCTCGCACTACCATGGGCACACGTCACGTGCCCTGTACGTCGCAACAACCAACAGTCGGCAAGGACCTTACCGGGACATGGTACCGTCCATCTGCAGCAGAAGTCTCGACGACCGTCGGCGCCGCGATCGCAACCTTTTCGGCATCATCGAGCAGTCTTTCTCTGCGACTGCTCGAGTGGACATCGCAAACCACATCAAGGACTACTACCTGGTACACTACGTGTACGGATTTCACACGGACCACTTCGCCTACTTCGCCACGGTGCAACGAAAAAGCCACCTAAGGGCGTCTGAGGAACTCGGATACGTCAGCAGACTCGCGAGGGTTTGCACTTCGGATCCGGCGTACAGTACCTATACGGAGATCACGCTCCAGTGTCTGGGTCCGGACGGCACAAACTACAACCTGTTAACGGACGCGAGTGTGATGGCCGCAGGTGAAGACGTAGCCGATGAACTCGGGCTTCAAGTGGGGGCCCCCGACAGCAGGGTACTCGTCGGCGTGTTCGTGGCAAGCGCCGACCATACAACAAGACCCAGTCGGAAGTCGGCAGTCTGTCTGTTCGCCATGACGGACGTGGAACAAAAGTTCACGGAGAACGTCCACATGTGTTACAACGGTAGCGTGCTCACGAGAAATATGGACTACATCGCTGGGAGCATCAATCAGTGCCCGGAGCCTGGGGTAAGTCGACGTTGTTTGCTTACTAATGCTTGGCCTGAATATAAACTTCAAGAATGAGTGTCCATCCGGATAACTCTCCGGCAAATAAAGTACAATCAAAATACACAAAACACACAAAATACTTAGTAAGAGGGTAAAAAACAGCGCGAAAAACGACACGAACAGGGAACGTGTACACACACAAAGCGCTGACTTTCAACTGTTTATTTTAAACATACCCCCCCCCCCCCCCCCAACAGTGGTCGGACCCCTATCCCTGGATGTGTTAAGCGGCATAAAAATAAGTCTGCTCCTTGCGGGGGAGGGGTGGTTTATTACATCCCGCTGACGTGTAAGAAGCTATACATCGGCCAAACACGCCGTTGTATAAATGACAGATTGCGTGAACATACGTGCTCGATGGGGGCTTTACCGTCAGAAAGCTTGACAATGCACTGCGATAGGTGTGGGTGCACTCCTGTTTTAATCCATACCAAGATTCCTGGAAAGCATCGTCAACAGACGACTAGAGAGATTACGGAAACCTTTTTTTATTTCAATGAACAAATATAAGTGTGCCAATGCTCCCTCGATAAGTTTATGACATGCGAGCTAGCGATTATCCGCAGTTTTTGACACGATGGTCATGTGATGTGGTGTGACTTATTTGATTGCATGTGACCACGCCGGTGTGCGTCGTTTTTCAAAACAAGCAGTTGAAAGTCAACGCTCTGTGTGTGTACACGTTCCCTGTCCGTGTCGTTTTTCGAGCCATTTTTTTACCCTTTTACAATGCTACACCAACTAGCCAGACTTACTACTGTGCCACAAAAAAAAAAAAAAAAAAAAGAAACATCTGATTGAAGTTCTTTTGAGGTTTATTAAACTGAAACTGAACTGAACACTCTAAATTCCAAAATATATCTGCTTCAATACTGAGTGGACGATCGCGCCCTAACTTTGATTCCTGAACAAGTATGCCAAATTAGAATGTCAGTAAAAATTCTCTAGACCAGGAGTGGCCAGAGTGACATGGGGTTGGAGCCGCAGACGAAACTACAAAAATTTAAAAAAACGCAGGGAAAAAAAAGGGGGGGGGGGGGTCAACTTTTACTTTTAACAAGAAACGATATGGGAGAAACAGTCGTGTCCAAAGGGGACGAGTATAATTGCCGACTACAATAAATAACACGACGCAGCAGAATGTTTCTTCAACCGCTAAGCCAAAATGGATGCATGGCTCGCTAGCCTGCCACTGCCCCTGACGCTCGTTAAGGCTCGTTCACACACTTGCGACCTCTTAGGACCGAGTACCTTGAAACCTCTTAATATCTCTTACAACGAGAGGACACACTGGCGCCTTCTATTGGGTAGCAGGGTTAACTTGGCGGTCTGGCATATTTTCTATTTCTCTCGCGCATTATCCTTTCTTTCTCGGCTCGAAACACTTTTGTCAACGTTATAAACGAGCCTTTCTCATAGGTATTATGCACATTTAACTTCGGAAATCCCGCAAACCCTTCGCTTTTGTGAAATGCAGTTTCAGGGTCACCGCATAGATGGCGCCAGCATGCCAGTGTGTTCTCTCGCAATAAGAAATTTTATGAGGTTTCAACAGGTCTCCTCTCTCTCGGTCGTACTCGGTTGCAAGTGTGTGAACGGGCCTTCATGCCGATATTATTCGAAGTTTTTTTTTCTAGAGCAATAAAGGAAACGGTCACTGGACACATGCATGTGTCAAAAAGCAGTCAAACTATATGTACGTAGTGTAGGACAGGGCTCGCCAAAACTGCGAGCTTTTTTTCTCTTCAAATTATAAAACTCTTCTTGTTTTGGGGACACAAGAGGGGAAGGGGGGCACGTACTAGGGAGCCACGAGCCACACCTGAACCGGTGAAGAGCCGCATGCGGCTCGCGAGCCCCAGTTTGACCACCCCTGTTCTAGACATGGGTTACTGACAGGATAAGAACGGCAGGGAGTTCTTTCAGTTCTAGCGCCTACAGCGGAAGCTTCCTAACTTCAATAACTCTTCAGCGTCTCCTGAGCTTTGTGTGTGCACGCTCAGTCAATCCAAGTCGAAGGGCAACCGCGTGCTGGCGTCCGGGAATTCAAAAGGGACGCCTTGCGTCCTGTCACTTAATCTTCTAATCCTGTCAGTTACAACAAAAGTGTTGTCGCTACTGAAACATGAGACGCACTAGCCATACGCCACACTGTACGTTCCTCTTCTACAGCATAAAACTCTCAATTCTTTATATAAGTGTTTGGTATATGTTATGGTGAAACCTGGCGTTCACTGCCTTACTTAAGGGCAGGAAAGGCTCGACGGTACAGCCATAGGGTCAGATGTCTCCCTATTTTTATTTTAGTTTTAATAAAAACGTTTTTACTTGCACAAGGATTAAGCAATACGATAATTGGTGAAGCACATGACGACATGGGAAATTGTTCTGGTGCTGTCTTTTACAGAAAGCCGGCAACATCATCAACTTTTGCAACGAAACTGTCAAACTGAGCGGATCTGTGCCCATCTCGGCTCATGCCGCCATCACCTACTCGAACGACACCCTGACATCGTTGGCCACTGTCCTCGTAGGCCAGCACAACGTGCTCTTTGTAGGCACAGCGAAAGGGACTCTTAAAAAGGTGTGTATGCTTAATTGAGTTAGAGAGCTTATGTGGTTCTGTGATGTTGTCTGTTAAGACTCTTCAGAGCAAATCACTGACTATTTTTAGTGTCTCTAGTCTTAACATCAAGCACACTTAAACGCAGCACCCGGGAATACTAGTGCTGTTTTAAATAATCTACCAAAGTAGTAAGTTGGTCGGCTTTAGATTGAGGTTTCCTTCTGTAGGCACAAGTAGCATCTTCGCAGATGCTTTCCTCCAGTAGAACCACAGCATATGCTTGGTATACCTTTGCAATACATTTAGTGCGTTATATAAAACAGGAAATGAGATTCCATATACTTTATTTTCGTTTTTATATGTTATTAAGCGCCTCAGAAGTATACTTAAGCATGAGTTATGCCACAATCAAACAAATGTGAACCTATATGTTATACCATTTTTTTTATTGGTCTACAAGGCAGGAAATGAAACAATACTTTATGCTTTTTTTTTTGTTCAAGATACTTGTAACCGGTGCAATGGAGGCTGAGGAGTTCGAAGAGATCTCTCTCGACCCCGGCCACAAGGTGATACCTCAAATCTACGTGGATTCTGCGCAGAACTACCTCTTTGCTGTCTCTATTTACAAGGTATGCGATCAACTTGACAATATGTTTTCCCACGTGTAATTCTATATTGCTAATTACTAATCAGAACAGCGTAAAGATTTAAAACTGTCACAATTAGTATGCAAATGTAGTTATTATGTCCGCTTGGATGATCCAAGAACGCTTGGAATATAGCATTCTTGCAAAGCAGAAACTTATCTCGATCAAGTTAAGCTGATAAACTTAAGAGGTGTTGAATTCGGGAGATCAAACATGCGGAAATATAAACTTAAGTATTGCGTTGCTTGCAGTTTAAAGAAAGCACAAAGGAAGAAATGATTTAGTTCCTTGGGTGTTTTGGTTTTCACATGCTTCTGAAAACGTTGTAAAATGAAGCGCTAAAAGCACTTAAGAATGATAACAAAGAGAGGAACTGTCACAAAATCTGCCACTATTTAACTGTATATTCGTGTTTAAGATTGAGAAGGTTTGTTTATAAGTTTACCTTTAAATGGTTTGTTTGTTTCCTTCACTATTGTTGATCATTGTTTTCTTTGAATCCTTTTGGAGAAACCCAGAAACTACTCCATCACCGTCCATTGCAAGGACACTGTCGGGAAGGGGTTTTAAAAAGTGGTGTTTCGAAGAGTACGAATCACCCAAGAAAGGGATGACAAAAGCAAACAGTTGGCAAAGTCGTTTTTTATTTCTCCTAAATAAAAATAACGGCGAGAGAAAAACTGGGGCGTCAACTGGTGTCAGCGCATCCATTGCAATCGAAGGTCGGTGTCCCAGTCCACGTCGGAAAGAGCCAAGCGTCAGCCCGTGCGAGTCTCTAATGGAAGTCGAACTGTCCAGTTCAACGTTTTCTGCCGAAGCGCGTCGAGTACAACACGAATCCCCTTTTAGCGAGAGCGACAAGCGAACGGAGCAAGACCCGGCCGAAAAACTTTGAATGTCCAAGTTTGGGCGCTCCGTAGCTCGAGCTTGGCACTCTTCTGTACGATTTGCAGATTCTCTGGATTCAAGGATAAAAAAATAAACAAAAATACCCGGAAGATATCAACCCGCCAAAAAACTGAGAGCGCGAAGCAGAAATCAAAAGTGAACTTCTTTTCCCTCTAACGCTTCATTCTTATATTTTATTTGTTGTACGTTTTGCTCCCGTTGCAATCTGTGTCGTAAGCTGAAAGATGTACTTAATTTCTTATTAAGGGCAATGAGGAATTTCCAATTCACTTGGTATTCTTCGCATCACAATTGTTTGTTTTTGACTTCATAGGTTGTCCGGTGATAACAATTTTCAGATTTTGGGCCAGCCCGTCCTTTTATTCTTAAGCCCTGACGGAATAAACTGCAGCCCAATTGCACACGCAGATTTTAGACTTCGGTAAACGGTGACAGCTTACATTGCCACTGAAAGAAAATGAACACATGGCTACAAACTGCTAAATTGCTCTTATAGGGAGCACGATAACGTACCTTTCTGTAACGTCCATATAGGCGTATTATGACCGAGGTTTTCATTGCTGTAATTACGGTGAGACAGCGAATTCAGCAGGTTATTTTATAATATTTGCTTGCCCAAAACAACATAAAAATATTCGCAAATTATATTTTTCCTTTATAGTTTATCGAGATATCTAGGAAAGTAACTAATTTGTATGTTTCCTTTCTTTAACCTGATTAATACGAGCAAAAATAAACTTTTTGAATCATTGCACCAAGAGGAAAATGATAGGTAATCGAGTTGGGTTTCCCTTGCTGCAACCTGCTTTATAAAATAGCGCCACTCACTGGTTCAGCGCGCGTTGGCATTTATTGACCACCACCGTCCACATACTTTGGTGCACGGCTTTGTATCAACGGCCGAGCGGCTCTCGTCTGCTGAGTGTACTTGGCCACCTCGTGGAGATGATGGCCGGAGATGGTTCACATGCGGGCAACCTGGTCGAACGTTTCGTGCAGCCAGGGTGCCCACAATCTTTAGAATTATTGTACACTAACGATATGAACAACGTACGCGATAGATATTTATATAAAAAAAAGTATTGGCCGAAGGTGGTGTCATATTTTAGGGTTGTTTTGAATCATAACTCTTTCTGAGGAAAATATAACTTTCTTTGATAAATTTAATTTCACAAGTGTTTCAATCTGTTTACGCAGGTGAGCAAGATTCGTGTCGAAAAATGCCACCACTACGCAACGTGTGAGAAGTGCCTCGCCTCTCGGAATCCATTCTGCGGTTGGTGCTCTCTCGAAAGACGGTGAGTTCCTTCTACAGCCCTTCACTCCCCGTCTCTGGCACAGTTGTGATCCACGTGAACGTAAGCGCACCATTGTCGTTCGACCCGGGCCGTACTGGCAGGGGCATGAAGTGACGACCCTGACAGCTTGCAAAGGGTCCGAATATTTTAATATCAGTAGATTAAAATAACATACCGAAATAGGCATGCGTGTTTCTCTGTCGCCTGTGCTTAAGGGGACTATAGTCAGTCGCAAGATGAGGTCAGCTGAAGCGAACGCCTCCATCACGTACCTGCTCCTTTCCCTCCGGCGTGTCTGGCTGCGAGTGCGACGAAGTGTTATCGAAGGCTTCCTCAGAAGGCGGAGCATGTATCTTTTGTCTTTTGCTGCAAGAAATTTTAGAGAAATTAAAACACTTAAAATTCTGCGCATTCTGAAAGAAAAAGAAATTTAATCCTAAGCAAGTAGTACGACATAAGAACGTTTAATATGGCAGAAGCTTGGCAATCCTAAGGACCCAACTTCAGTTTAATCTGGTCTCACTCCAGTCTGTTAGTTAGTGACAGAGTAGTTTTCTTCGGCGTTGCTACGGCTTTTCTCTGGCTCGCCAGATAATCTCCAATGTGCCAGACTTGAGCCAAAGGTACAGAATGACAGTCAAACTACCACCAGTGAAGCCGAAATCGCGCACTTTTTGGGGCAATTTAGGCCCGAAGTTGTGACATAAAAGCCGAACAACCAGAAGAGAAGCCTAACTCTGTCACTTGTTTGGCAATTTAGGCCTAATGCTAGATGGCAGCCAATCTACCACTTGTTTGGCGAATTGGGGCGAAGGTACCCATGACTCTGGCCAAAGAAGATCTATGTATGTTAGGTTTACCTTGGCTTTTCGGGTTTTTTAAGGCCCTAAATTCCCCCCTCCCCCCCCCCCCCCCCCCTCGCCCAACAAGGAAAAAAAAAATGAAAAAAGATTAAGTGTTTGGCTCAAAGAATTGCGCTACCTGGGTAACACCTTAACGGTCTAAATTTAAGAGAATATCCAGCAGAACTCGTGCTGTTAAAACAAATTAATTTATCCTAAAGACCTTTTAGTGTTCGTGTCGTTTTTCGCCTGTAGCCTCGTGGTTTATGCCATGTGCATGTTGATTAACTTCTCGTTTTAGAGGTTTCTAAATAATTAAAGTTTTATGCCTACGGAGTCAGAGGTGTCGCCTCAAATATTGTCAAGGTGCTTCTTAAATATCAACATTAACATGTTTACATAAAAATACAAAGGTGACTCTGTTCAGATAAGATCACGCACGCGAGTCCGGACGAATTTTTTGTTGTAGTTAATTTTTTATACGTTACTCCTCAACATTCGTAGGATACGAAATCAAAAAAAACGTTTTGCCAACACAAAATATTTGAAGAAAAACAAATTTTTGAGTGCGCCAGACGGCATATTCAATTTTTAAATTAATTTTTGTTAATGTCATGTTTGGTGGCATTTACTACGCAAACTACAAATGTCGAAAAATCTCAAATATTTGCACTGATAATAGATCATGGGAACTATTTATTTAATTAGGTACAGCCTTGTGGAGGTTATATACTTTTATATCAAAAATGCGCAAACATGGCTCCTTTGACGCTTTGTCACTAGATTTCTGAGCCGTTATCTACAGAAATGGAATCGCTACAACAGTCATATTTGTGCCATATATTCTTAATAAGACGTTCTTTCAAATGATATATAAAACAAAGATTTAGCTAAAAAAATGTATATCTATATGGCGTTCCAAATTTGTTTTATGTAGAAAGTTAAAAAAATTTAAAGTGCGATTGAAAAAACAAAAACAACGTTCGATTTTTTAAGATTTACAGTGATAGTTCTCCACAATACTCTTGTAGTTATACATCAGCAACATGATGTATAATTCTGTTTCCTTTATAGTTACAGCACTGCAACATGTAACTTCCACGTCGGCATATTTTGCTCGATGCCATAGGCGGGATTATCATTTGATTCCGTGTATTTTATGACCAGACAATTTTTTGTGTGTGCTGTATTCGTGTATTGGGCTTAAGTTCAAGTATTCTACTAATAAAACAGTACCCGTGTTGTTCGTATTTTGTATATATTTAACCAATAAGCCTGTTTAGCCCTTTAAAATTACAAGTTCTAGGAGCTTTAACTGAAGTTTATCCACTTGCAAATACTATTACTGTGAATTTCTTTACAGGAAGTAGAATAAATGTAAGAAGAGTTGAGCTAATTATATACAAATATTCATATCTATAATCGCGATGAAGTGGGAATGTTTGAGCCCCTAATCTTGTTGCACTGCTGTCCATGACGGTAGTTGATTCGGCTGACTAAGGTAAACCTGTTACTTCCCTGGCAGACTTTCACTAGGACGTCCGTTAAGATTAAAACATATTTGTGATTACGTTTTTGAGTGAAACAAAAAAAAATTAGAAAGTAAAAAAAAAATATAGTAAGGATACTAGCGCGCTAGTTGCCGGTGTTGGCAGGAGGAAATCTTGAGAAATCTGTTCGTTGCCGCTTTTCAAACTAGACTCACAAATTCCTCGAAGTAATCACATATACTGCAATAATTAAACGAGTGCGAAGAAATAAGACCACTCCAAATGTAGCTACAAATATGGAATGCACGAACTGATCGGTGCTGTCTCACGGCCGCAGCGTTCCGGGAGGAAAATTCGAAAGCTCTTTTGGACGAGGTCTAACATCGGCTCTCTGATTGCCTTAGTGTAGGTACGTGGCAGCGAGCTCCTCGTAAAACAGAAGAGAGAGTTAGACGTGAATTTATCCCGGCAAAACAGTTGATAATGACGTCGTCGGTGTATTCAAAAGATGGAGTTCTACCGACGCGGAAGCATGTTTTCTCGCCTTGCATCGCTAGACGTTACAGATCGGAAAGTAAAGCAAAGCTGCTAAGCCTAATGCCTACACGACCACCCATGAAACCAATTTTTAAAGTCGCGAGGTTGGAAGGGCATTCGTCGTAACCCTGTCTCCACGTTCACGCAGTTTGCAGAGGTACATGCTGTCATTTTGACTCGCTGGCGGTAGCGGTGCTAAGCAAGACTTTTGTTAATATACTATCGTACTCAGGAGCCAACGCCGGCGTCAAGAGCGAAATGCCGCGAGCCCTTAAAGCGGCGCACGCAATACTATCGGCCCCAACCTAATCAGTGCAAAATTACAAAAAGAAAAAAGGTGGCAACAAGGACAGAAAGCAAACCTCACAGTCCCTACGGCGGTGGTTCCCTCGTGAACGTAAAGGGGACTTTACGGGAACCAGAGACGGCATGGAGCACAAAGCACACGCGATTATCGCCCGTTTTCTCTTGGTGCACTTTTTTTTTTTGTGGGGGAACTGATTGCCACATGTTTATACTTACTCTGTGCCTTGCTTCATATAAAAGCTCATTACCCATTATCTTTCCTTATTTCTCTCTCATTTAATGAATTCGGGAGGTCGCAGAGTCTTATGACCATGAGAAAAGACAACACTCTCGCTGCGGTCATAAACGAAGTGGTGGCCAGGCACTTGTTGTTGCATCTTGGCAAACCATTTTCAGCCAGTGCAGCGACTTATAGTGCCGGTAGAAAATTTGGTACTGACTATTTTAATAAACACAAAAATATTATAGCAAAGCAATAATAGCCACATTTAAAGTTGACCGATTTTCCTGCACTTATTGCAATTATTGCAGCACAGGTGACTGCTTTGAGGTTAATCGTCAGTCCGGTTTGAAGAGCGTCAAAAGATAGACTTCTCAAGACGCCTTTCTGCCACTGAGAGCAAGAGTGCGCTCGATATCTTTACTCGTTTCTTTTTTACGTTTTTCTTATTAGAATAAATAATTAGAAATCTGTTATTATTTACGGATGTCTTACTGAAAATCTGCCAGTGAAGTCGCAACTGGTTTACCTCGGTCAGCCGGACGCTCAACCTTCATGAAGAGCATGCAGTGTTACAAGCTTGGTGGCTCAAACAATCCCACTTCATCGCGAATATAAATATAAACATTTGCCTATAATTTGCACTGCTGTTCTTTTGTTGTTACTTTTATACTACATTTTGTAAAAAAAAATAAAATAATATATATATATATATATATATATATATATATATATATATATATATATATATATATATATGCCGGAGTAGCGATTGCAAGTTTTGTCCCACTTTTGTGGAAAAAGTTCAGCAAAAGCTCCAGGACTTGTAATCTTAAAGGACAAAACATGCTTATTGGCAAAATAAATAAAAAGGGAAAGCAACGCAGGTATTGTTTTAATTGCCGAAATATTTCAACTTGCACCCAGTACCCAAATACAGCACAAAATATTTATCTACTCATAAAATACACGAAATCAAAAGATAATATCGTATGTGGCATTGGGGGAAAATGCCACCGTAGAAGGTACACTTTTCAGCGTTCTAACATTCAAGGAAAGAAAACGATGCAACATGTTGTTTTATAAATAAGCACACGAGTATGGTGGAGAACTATTACTGTAAATATCAAAACAAATATAAGCTTTTTTTTTTAATGGCCTTTTGAATTTTTTTTAGAGGGGCCATGACACAATTTTTTTACTTTCCGTAAATACAATTAATAATCACTTCCTAACGTAAATAACCGAATAAGCTTGCCTTAGTTTTGCTTTCTGAGCAATGGCAGTCGGCAAGTGAATTCGAGAAATATGAGCATCGTGAATTCCCTCAACTCGGAGCCAGAACATGTGGCCACGTGGCGTAGCGCCTATCCTATGCCGCCAACGTTTATCATATCCAAGCGCTGGTGTCGACAAAGTAGGAAACGCGTGCTGAGCTCGAGGCATTGTTAGAGTTCGGCCACTCTTATCACCGCAGTGGTCGGACACGACCCACTATCCAAGTGTCCGCCGAGGCATCGATTGTTACGAGCTGAAGTCGAGTGCTCACGCAGTTCTCGCGTCCAATCCATAAGCCGCGCTCGACTGGCGTCAGTTGGGTGGTTT